TTTTAGGCAGATATTAAAGTCTCAGATATATAAAAACATGTCTCTGAAGTGTCCTGCTCCAAACCCCCAAACAGACCCTTGTAGCCCCCCCCCCTCTCTTCCAGCTGTTACTAAGGACATGTCTCTGAAGTGTCCTGCTCCAAACCCCAAACAGACCCTTGTAGCCCCCCCCCCCCTCTCTTCCAGCTGTTACTAAGGACATGTCTCTGAAGTGTCCTGCTCCAAACCCCAAACAGACCCTTGTAGCCCCCCCCCCCCTTCTTCCAGCTGTTACTAAGGACATGTCTCTGAAGTGTCCTGCTCCAAACCCCAAACAGACCCTTGTAGCCCCCCCCCCTCTCTTCCAGCTGTTACTAAGGACATGTCTCTGAAGTGTCCTGCTCCAAACCCCAAACAGACCCTTGTAGCCCCCCCCCCCTCTCTTCCAGCTGTTACTAAGGACATGTCTCTGAAGTGTCCTGCTCCAAACCCCAAACAGACCCTTGTAGCCCCCCCCCCCTTCTTCCAGCTGTTACTAAGGACATGTCTCTGAAGTGTCCTGCTCCAAACCCCAAACAGACCCTTGTAGCCCCCCCCCCTCTCTCTTCCAGCTGTTACTAAAGACATGTCTCTGAAGTGTCCTGCTCCAAACCCCAAACAGACCCTTGTAGCCCCCCCCCCTCTCTCTTCCAGCTGTTACTAAGGACATGTCTCTGAAGTGTCCTGCTCCAAACCCCAAAGAGATCCTTGTAGCCCCCCCCCCCCCTCTCTTCCAACTGTTACTAAGGACATGTCTCTGAAGTGTCCTGCTCCAAACCCCAAACAGATCCTTGTAGCCCCCCCCCCCCCCTCTCTTCCAGCTGTTACTAAGGATATGTCTCTGAAGTGTCCTGCTCCAAACCCCAAAGAGATCCTTGTAGCCCCCCCCCCTCTCTTCCAGCTGTTACTAAGGACATGTCTCTGAAGTGTCCTGCTCCAAACCCCAAACAGATCCTTGTAGCCCCCCCCCCCCCTCTCTTCCAGCTGTTACTAAGGACATGTCTCTGAAGTGTCCTGCTCCAAACCCCAAACAGATCCTTGTAGCCCCCCCCCCTCTCTTCCAGCTGTTACTAAGGACATGACTCTGAAGTGTCCTGCTCCAAACCCCAAACAGATCCTTGTAGCCCCCCCCCCTCTCTTCCAGCTGTTACTAAGGACATGTCTCTGAAGTGTCCTGCTCCAAACCCCAAACAGATCCTTGTAGCCCCCCCCCCCTCTCTTCCAGCTGTTACTAAGGACATGTCTCTGAAGTGTCCTGCTCCAAACCCCAAACAGATCCTTGTAGCCCCCCCCCCTCTCTCTTCCAGCTGTTACTAAAGAGCTGACTCTGGGTCAGTAGCTTCAGAGAGAGAGTAGATCTCATCAGGAGAACTCTCCCAGCAGAAACTCAGCTAAATGCTGCCGTGATGAAACTCCATATCATGTTCCAAACCACATCAAGGATTCTCTCTGAAACAGTATGGAGCTCAAACTCTTTCTCTCTCTCAGGTTTACCACAAGGTGACTTCCTTTTGATTTCCTGCTTCTTCACACAGACTCTCTCCAGTACAGGTTAGCTCTGAGTAGGGATTTAACGATCCCAAAAACTCACGGTACGATAATATCGCGATATTGAAAAATAAATAAACATTTTAAAATGTTTTACTTGGAAAAATGTTCTTTATTAAATAATAAATCTGATTTGTACAGCATTTTAGTAGGATAGTAGTATTTTAAAGTGTCAAAAACAAAGTGACAGTAACAGACTGGAACAAGAAAACCAGTGTTTTTGTACCTACTAGTACAACCAAACAAAGCAGGCATTTTCTTTGTGCCACTGCACCTCACAAATAAACAAGGACATTTAATAATCAGACCCCGCAATAAAATAAATCAAGTTTCACTTTAGTTTTTCAAGTAACTCAACTCAAACTCACTAAGTCACTCACTCAGCATCATCAGACAGGTTTTTAGGAATATGAGCATGTCCACATTTCCAGGTAGAAGCTGGGATGTTTGGGCGTTTACAATATCCCCTGCTGTGGAAAGAACTCTCTTGCTTGGTACTGATGTTGCTGGTACTGATGTTGCTGGTACTGATGTTGCTGGTACTGATGTTGCTGGCACTGATGTTGCTGGCACTGATGTTGCTGGTACTGATGTTGCTGGCACTGATGTTGCTGGCACTGATGTTGCTGGTACTGATGTTGCTGGCACTGATGTTGCTGGCACTGATGTTGCTGGCACTGATGTTGCTGGCACTGATGTTGCTGGCACTGATGTTGCTGGCACTGATGTTGCTGGTACTGATGTTGCTGGTACTGATGTTGCTGGTACTGATGTTGCTGGCACTGATGTTGCTGGCACTGATGTTGCTGGCACTGATGTTGCTGGCACTGATGTTGCTGGCACTGATGTTGCTGGCACTGATGTTGCTGGCACTGATGTGCTGGTAACTGATGTTGCTGGTCGCGTTAACCGAATATTTTTTTAACAATGACGG